CAGAAGCCAGAGGCTTCGAACTCGACTAACGAGTCTTTGTAATGAATACTTGCAAGTAAAGATACATGGACAAAAGGGTTTACTGCGTGACTCACTGTGTCACACTGCAGCTTCCATGATGAGACGAGACAGATAATTTTCCCCCCTTTTTTTCTCTTAAATTTTATTTTCGGGGGGAGGTTGTAGGGGTAGAGGGTGGATATAAAGGGTGGGGGAAATAAATGGGATAGAGATGCATGATGTGAAAGACACAAATAATAAATAAAAAGAAAGTTAAAAAAAGTGGAAATATTTTGCTACTTTATGCTTCCTCTTTAAGACACTTGAAAATAATCATTCAATCAGTGCTCTACAATACAGAATGAAAAAATGAAAGTCTAGATCCCTGGAAACCATGTCACAAGAAACTCAAGGTATTTAAGGTAACTGTCATCTTTTGGAACATTTATAAGTATGGGAGAGCTTACTAGCTATTGAGACTACTTCCTAATGTAGTTTAAAAAGTCCATGAGCACTTTCACTTTGGTTCCTTTGATTCCTTAATGTGTACCACAGTTTTCCTTATAGACTTTAATTGCTTGTTCACGATGGTTTTACTGTTGTTGAGTGTATGTAATTGAAATGAAGTAGCTCAGATGAGCCAAACCACCCTCGGGAATTAAAAAAAGAAGAAAGAAAGAAAAAAAGAAAGGAAGGAAGGAAGGAAGGAAAAAAGAAAGAGAAAGAAAGAAGGAAAAGTTAGTTCAATGAGAATTGTCACTGTAACCCCAATCCTGTAACTTTTTCTTACGAATCTGAAATTATGCCTGGAACTAGATTCTGAAGTAGTCAGCTACAGAACGTAGTTTAAACACATACGATGGGTGAGCCCCTGCCAGAACCAGCTGTTCTCAAGTTGAGAAACTGCTCTACTTAAGACTGGCCAGCATGTAAAAGTGGTCAAGGAGACACACAATTTCAGTAGAGCATTTATTTAATGAGGTGACACATGTGAAACAAACCTATTACTACTCTTTCTCTTTACTTGCACAATTAAATTAGTTACCAATAACATGTTTTCTGGTTTTAGCAACTCTTTGAATTACTATACAATGCTCTTAAAAATATCTGGCTTTTATATGTGTGAAATCTTTTGGAAGGATTTAGTATTAATTTTCAGCCTATAATGTGTACACATTGACTTACTAGGTGTATATATATACACACATACACACACATATATACATACATACATGCACACACGCACACTCACACAAACACATGTATCATGAGCTATTTTTAAAGAAACTCCTAAGACATTTCAATACCAGCCAAACATATTTATCTGAGGATTAATCTTCATCTATTGAATCAGGCAAGATCACTGCCATGCATATAATTATTTAATTAGCAGCCAAATCCTCTGCCAGTCAGCAGCCGTTCCAGGCATACTGATGGGGTAGGAGATGCAAATCTCACAGTCGTACTGCTTTTTCTCATTACTACTGCAATTAGCACTTAAATTGATGCTTTAAACATACTAATTTCTGGAATAATTCAGGATTTGTATGTTACCTGGGATCGCCTCACTGCAGAGCCGACACCAGATTGCTCTGCAAATTGAAGCACTTTTGAGCCAAATAACCATCATCATATCAGACAGAGCCAATTTGCATTTGGTTTTAAAGATAACAGAATGGCAATTTATGCAAATAAATTAAGTAAGTTTACTTCTGAGTTCTCCCTCAACTAATTATAACAATGTTCTAATTTTTCATCACATCTAAAACTTGGCTTAAAATCAGTGTATGCTATGTGAGAAATCTGTTGTTGGTAATAGTAGTCTTGTTTGAATTCAAAGATGTTTTTATTCATAATTTTGATGGTAATTTAGTCAGAAAGATAGGCATTTATTATGAATATTTAAATAAAATGATTTGTGTCAATTTGGGGTTCAACAGAAACTGAACAGTCAATCAGACACTTATGCCTGTTATACTTTTACCAAGTCTTGATTAAAGTAAGTTTCACTTGGAAAATGAAGAAACACGGTGTAGAAGTTTCCTCAATACTTGAAGTTAAAGAATTATGAAGACATGCTGAACACTTACTTTAAAATTTCAGGATAAAAAAATACTAATGACTTAAAAGTCTAGACAGTCAAATATTTCTGGCATCATCCATTCATGTTTTTAGTTTTCCCAAAAACTGTTTGGATAGATGACTTACTCTGCCTTTCACAACAGCAATTTAACTGTCTATATAAGTCATATAGTTCACAAAAGGAGCATATTTGAAAGACTATCTTATACTCTAGGAAGAGAAAAATTGGATAGTATATATGCCCAGGCATCCCCACCCCCTCCAATGAAATTCAAAGTCTTTGCTCTGTGTAATTAAACCATTACATTTTCATAAGGAAGAAAACTTTGTATGTACAGTCAAAATACTGCAATTTACAAAATACAACAGTCTCAAATTTAAACTAAGGTGTTTTATGTAACATTTATTGGCCTTGTGAGGCACAATAGCACACATAGTGTGTTTACTATAAGTTTAGGACTAAGGCTGCAGTGAGGTTGTGAGATGAAACATGGATGATCAATGCTTGGAACACTTCAGATGCATAATATGCTTGATTTAAAATTAACTTTTGGTCATTATGTATTCAGAAACCCTTCACTGTTAATATTTTTCATGATTCCATTACCATATGGGTTGGCGACCCACAGCTGAAGAAGCTGTGTTCTAAGTTAGGAAACTGTTGATCTGGAGGAGAGATGGATGTACCTGCTTTGCTTTTGCTGACTGTAACTCGTTCTCCACCATGGAGCTGAATACATAGTCTTTCCCTTCACAGGCATGGATCAGCTCAGGAAGGCACTCAATGGATGTTCGGCATTTAGCATGTGGGCCCTTTATGGGTGGTTTCCATTTCCTATGAAATAATATACACCAATAAAATAATTCCTTCGCAGCAAAATGATGACAGTAACAGTTTCTTTAAATACTACTCAGTATTCTCTAAGCCATCTCTAATACTGTATGAAATATGTAAACTGTAATTTACACATAAACACTTAGATTTCACAGACAGTGGTTGTCTACAGGAACACAGGCCATTAGATCTTATGCTAAGAAAAAAAATACAACTGAAATCATACTCATACTCTTAAGGGTTTCCAGAAAACTGGAGGGGATTTCCTAGGCCCCCGCTTGTTCTAAGTTTTCATAATAGACCTCTGAGTCCCTCAGTATGCCTTCTTTACTACTAATATCCAGCTTTTGTATCATTTAATAATTCAGGGAAAGGATCCTGAGATAGCCACAGACACATAGGGGTGTCTGCCACCTCTTAACACTTGCTACTGGTCTGACTTGCTCTAAGCACATTTGTATTATTTTTCAGGGATATCCCATGGAGGACTCAAACATCTTGGAGTGCCATAGAGCCTAATATATTTGAGTTAAATAAGAGACTCTCCTGAAGGGACTCCATATATGCCTGAAGTGGTTTTATTTTTGTTTTGTTTTGTTGGTGAGTCCTATGTTTCATGTTGCCTAGGCTAACCTTCAGCTTGATATGTGGCTGAGGATATAGCCTTGAACTCCTGATCTTCTTGCCTCCAATTCCTGAGTGCTGTATACTAACAGGACTGGTTTACATAGTTCTGGGGGTTGAACCCAGGCCTTCCTGCTTGCTAGGCAAACACTCTGTCAACTGAGCTACCGTCTGCAACCTGCACCTGAGGTTTTTGTTGTTATTTGTATCTACAAGCATCTAATGATTGCAACATCTTTCCCAGGTGATAAAATTATAAAAGGAACATGATGGCAAGCTTCAAGCAGATTGTTTTGTTTGATTTCATGACTGTGAAAAAAGACTTTGGTCGAAAAGTGTCTCTTGACTATATAACACTGGTGTGAAAGAAATATTTTATTTAAATCCTGCCAACCTCCAGGTATCAAGTATTTTTTCCCCTCTGGCTAAAACAATTGTAACTATTATGAGGCCTAAGGCTAAGTAATATGATGCTACCATAAACTCTTCTAGCATATAAAACAACATTTTTATAAACATGTTTTCATTTGAAAACATTTCAGATTCCTTAACTCTCTTATACTACAGAAGAAAATGGCAATCTATTTTATGTTTGATTACAAAGTACATTATCAATGTCTTCTTAAATGGAGGCTGATATTATAAGGGAATAAATTCAATTAAAACAGACATACAACCAACCAATGCTGCAAATGGGAAAGGATTTATATAGGAAGGGGCTAAACTTGCTGTTCATCTTAGGGTTGGTAACCCCATTCCAAGGGAGGATATTATATCATAGCCCACACTCTTCTCCTCTAGAAAACAGTTATTTTCAACCTGAAAGAATCAATTTTCAAGGCACCACATGAAAGTGTAGCAGCTATCTGAGCTTAGAGAGGAACACCACTTTTGTGGCTGTGGTAGAGTCCGGTGGTAGGGCTCAAGCACGGCATGTATCAACCACTGGGTTGGATCTCAGCAACCCCTGACCCCATTTAAAAAAATGTTTTTAAATCAAAACAATTACATTGACAAAACAATTACCTGAAAAGGTGAAGATGGTGCTGCTCTATGTTTGGTATTGTGAGAAGAGAGGAGTCCTTTAGCCATCGGCCTTGGATCACCATCTGAACCAGGTGAGTGATGTTCAGGGCAGTCACCAGCCAGCCCTGGCTTGCAGCCACATCCAGCATGGCCTGAATAAGGAAAATCATGTTAGCCTCTCAACAACAACAACAACAACAACAACAACAACAACAACATAGGGAAGCCAATATTATGTCTTAAAATTACTGTGTATCAGAACGGAAACTAAAAACTGAGCTACAGCTAAGATAGGGAACAAACTAAGTTTCCCATAGAAGGATCAAATATAAGCTTTTGAGGACAGTAAAAAAAAAGTCAGCTATTACTGTCTCCAGTAATAAGAAAATGGTATACTTTTTGAGTAAATAGTTACACAATTCACAGCAGCAAGAGCATTTAAAATGTAAATTTTACTGTCTTTCAAATGTAAAATCAGTAACCATAGGGGAAAAGTTTATTATTTATTTGTTTTTTTATTAAAAGAACATTTTCCTGAAAGAGCAGGCTAAGGATACAGGCGGACTCTTAATGACAATAGAGCACACTGTATATAGGCAACTGCCTGTGGCCCATGCGTAGTGACGGAAGCTACCCATATTGGACTATACATTTAATCTAATGTTTTATGGACAAACAAAAGGCTGCATTTGCTTAAGGCAAAACTAAACAGTGAAATCTTATTTAAACAGAGGAGAAGTTTACATAAGCAAAGTGATTTCAATTAAATTAGATTCTGCAGAATGCTGACTGAAAGACATGTAAGTTAATATGATATTGGGCAATTGTACAGTTTCGGGACTGTACTAGCTTGTTTTGGGATGTACCTAGTACTCCATTACAATGATACTTTAACAGTAAATATTTCACTGATGGTAAGATATTATAAAATGTTGTACAAAGTCTACTTTTAGAAATGATTTAAGCTATGTTAGTAATGTGCCATACTATCATTTTGTGGTATCAATGTGAATATATTCTCCTAAGCTTTAAATTTCCAACGGTGTTCTATAATACACAAAAAGTAAATTACAAAAACTTGTCAAATAAAGTCTACATTCTTTTTATGTACAATACAGGGAAATGGACCAGGGTTCTTGGATATAATGATTAGTGTGACAGAATGATCAAGCTGGTCCTTAGCACCTGTTGGGCTGCTAGCTACACACCAAAAGCCTGGAGATGTATGTATGTGTGTGTGTATATATATACTTATACATACACACACGTGTGGATACATAAGTATGTGCATATGTGAATGTTTCATGCACACATGAACTCCGAGAAACATTGTATGTGTACATTTCTTCTTTTTTTGCAAAGCAGAATTTCTTTAAGATGTACGAGACAAACAAGTTATAAAATAATGCTATGTAGAAAATAATATAGTTCTCAAATCACAACGCTTGAGACCAGCTTAGAGAACAGAAAAGAGAAATGAGTAACTGTACTAATGCAATACAATGATGCATTTAGAACTTGTAATGAGGACCAACAACAACAATTTTACTTTTGATTTTGTATTGTAATGTGACTGGAAATAAATTCCAGAACAAAAGCTCACATCTATAGTTGGATGGACTAACCATATGGTTTTAACTTTGAAGTTTTCATTATGAAGTTGAAAGATTTCATAAAATTTATGAGTGTTCTCCACAAGTTTTCATTGTATGATCCAGATGTGAAAATACAAAAAGAAAATAATGCAAGGTAAGCACTTACATCAAGTGAAAGTTCTATCGCGATGGAAACTTTAATTTATAGAAAGGACAGGGATGCCTCACTGCTTAGCCTCTGTCTCCATTTATTCCCATTCTAACTCAGTTTTGTTTAATCAATACTTAATTTTCTTACTAAAATGAATTTCTAAAGAAGTAAAACTAATCAGTCCATCTCTCTACAAGTATTTTCAATGACATCACACTGTGTGGTGGACAAAACAGACACGTCCTTGCACAGCAGTCAAACCCTGTAACTACTGTCTCTCTTTTCTCTTTGGTCATCTTGCCCAATATACTCTCAGTGCAGTAATACAAAATGACTGGCGTTCTCTAGATTTACACTATCACTTTTTTAATCTTCAATACTTGAGAATTTCCCATTTATCATTTGAAACCTTCCTGATTCTTCCAGACAGATATAGTTTGTCTCCTCTGCCTCTACCTCAAGGTAGATGACCATTACCTTAATGCGATTCTCTGTTTACATATTATCCTGTAAACTACAGACTTCTTCTCTTGAGAATTTGTAATCATTCTTTGTAATTCTAGCCCTAGCACAGTCTATTCAGTAAATATTTTGTGGCATTCTGAATGAAAACAGCCCCCACAGACTCAGGGAGTGGCATTATTGGAGGTGTGGCCTTGTTGGAGAAGGTGTGTCACCGTGGGTGGGCTTTGAGGTTTCAGAAGCTCAAGACAGGCCCAGCGTCTCTCTCTTCCTGCTGCCTGCAGATGCAGATGTTGATCTCTCAGCTTCTCTCCAGCACCATGTCATCCTTTGTGCTGCCATGCTTTCCACCATGATAATGGACTAAACCTCTGAACTTTGTAAGCCAGCCCCAGTTAAATGTTTTCCTTTATAAGAGCTACCACGGTCACAGTGTCTATTCACAGCAATAAAATGCTAGTTAAGACATATTTGCTTTATTAAAGCATACATAAAAATCCAACAATAATGATTATAACATTATGACTAAATCATTGAGATATACTAAAAGCAGTATAAAAGAAAAACAAACAAACTTTGAGTCAGACATAGATTTGGATCCTAATTTTATCCCATTTATCACATCTAAATTTGAGAAAGTCTCTTTACACTACTGAAGAGGTTCTATGGAAGCAAAGAGAAAATATACATGAATCTTCCAGCAGCTGTCTGCTGCACAGGAGACAGTAATGAACAGAGACCCATTTAAACATCATAAAACAATACTTTTTCCCCTCTCCTAGCAGAGATTTCCTTTTATCTCTTTCATGCCCATTTCTACAGAGGGTAGGAGGAGTAGAGGAGAGGAGAATGCATGGCCAGGAGCAGATGCATGGGCTGGGCATCAGGAGAGGTTTGTGACTACAAAAATGTCAAGGGACAAGGCAAAGAACCAGTCCTGCTGTGCAGGACAAACAGAGATATCAGTCTGCTTCTCAGGTGGAATGGAAGCCCATGCCACTGTTCAGAGGGTCATAACTGACAGGGATTACTGCTGTGGGATGTCTTTCTGTATGCTGTGAATATGTGTTGCTCTGATTGGTTGATAAATAAAGCTACATTGCCCTATGGCAGGGTAGGATGGAGCCAGGTGGGGAAATCCAAGAGAGATAGGAGAGGAGAAAGGAGAATGGGGCAGATGCTACCAGCCACCACCAGGAGAAGCAAGATGTAAAGTACCAATAAGCCACAAGCCACGTGGCAAGGTACAGATTTATAGAAATGGGTTAATTTAAGATATAAGAGCTAGTTAGCAAGAATCCTGCCATGGCCATAGTTTGAAAATAATATAAGCCTCTGTATATTTATTTGGGTCTGAGTGGCTATGGGACTGGGCAGGACACAGGAAAGCTTCCAACTACAGCTTACAATGGGAGACTGAGGATCCTGGCAGCTATGACTGAGCCTGGAAAGGACTCTGTGTGCTGTGGGATAATGCTTTTGTAAACTGGTTTAATAAAACACTGATTGGCCAGTAGTCAGGCTGGAAGTATAGGTGGGATAAGCAGACAAGGAGAATTCTGGGAAGATAAAGGCTGATGCCAGCCCGCCGCCCAGGGAACAGCATGTAATGGCACATAGGTAAAGTCACGGAACACGTGGCAACATATAGATTAACAGAAATAGGCTGAGTTTAAGTGCAAGAGCTCGTATGTAGTAAGCCTGAGCTATGGCTGAGCAGTTTTAATTAATATAAGCCTCTGTGTTTACTTGGGTCTGAGCAGCTGCAGACTGGGTGGGACACAGGAAAAACTGTGTCTTACTATCTTACAACAGTCTTTCCCAGGTTACTCCATATCACAGAGATCTGACAGCCAACCACAGAAGATTGCTTTGGCACACTGAGGAGACCAAGTTATAATGATTCTGAGTACAGAAAAACATGGACGGGGGCTGACACTTTATAAGACTTTCTCTTCCTGAATTGGAATCAATTTTCATTGATTATTATCTCTAGCTATAGTGGAATGAAAATGTGATTTCTAGCACTGCATTCATTTTTATAAAATTAGACAACAAAAACCTATCATAATAGAAACAGTCAGGATGTCTGTTATTCACTGAAGAGAGGTGGGCTGGAATGGATATGCTGAATTAGGTTTTGGACACATTTTAATGGAGATGGAGCTATGAAGCCAGGTGGGTAATTGAGGTAAGACAAGCTCCACAGGGAGTATATGCTACAGCTGGACTCAGAAATCCAGGGCACAAAGCGGTCAGCCAGAAAGTTACAATGAGCAGCACTGCTAACAAAGGAATCAGTAACAGAGTAGGGGCAGGAGGCAAGACCCAGAAAGGTAGGAGAGGATGGCACAGGAGGCCATCTGAACATCCTCAACCACACTGGAAGTAATTTGTGATTTGAATAGACATTTGCTAAATGCTTGCTATTTGTCAAACAGTCTATTAGCATTTTTTTATGTAACATTAAATTTAAGCACATTTTATAGATGAAGATCATGGCTAGGAGAGAGAAAAAACATTATCTAAGACTATAAAATTTTAGAAAATGAGTCTGGTTAAGATTCAAATTCAAATTGTTGGGAGCTTGCCTCCAATGGTATATTTAGCATAGTAAATAGTATATATAATTAATATTAGTATAATAGTATATATATATATATATATATATATATATAATAGTAAATATAGTAAACAGCCAATGAAATTCAGAATAAAGTGGAGAGTGTGTAGAATTTGAGTGGGGTTGTAATTTAGAACAACTGATTTTATGAGGAATGTGCATATTAGATCAATGGGACTTCAAGAATGTTTCTCAATTAAAGCAAATAAAATCTTGTTTCAGTATTTGTCAGGGAATGGTTCCAGGACCCTGAAGGATGCCAAAATCTGTGGATATTCATGTCTCCTATTTAAAATGGTAGTATTTATATGTAACATATGCATATATTCCTCTATACCTTAAATCACCTGCAGATTACTTATGATACCTAATACACTGTATTGCTTAAGTAATGACAAAAGAAAAAGAGAAAAAAAAAGGCCATATCTAGCACTGACTGAATTCTTCCAATATTTTGCTCCATGGTTGGCAGAATATGCAGATGTAGAAGTGTTGAGTATGGAAGGCTGATGACTACAGACTTCAGTGCAATTCAGACACTTGGCACTGGTTTGTAGCTGGTGTGGTAAGTTAGACACAAACCAACAGCTTAGAACTGTACCTCTAACTGGAAGGCCCTGGGCAAATTAGTTAATTATCGAAGTTCATTTTCCACATCTGAATAACTGAGTCTGATATCTGTCACTTTTTAAAAGAATTCTACCTTCTGTATAAGCTTTAATATTTCAGCAATGACATATGACTACAGATACACCATATATAATATATATATTTACATTTGTTTTCTATCTTTTCAGGTGGACTCTAGCATTTGAGGTCATTTCTAGTAAACACCAAATAAGCTGTACAGAGAAGAGAAAATCCTGGAGTCAGGATATGAGGGTTCAGAAAAGTAGTTTTGTTGATCACTGAAGATCTCATAGGACCAATGAAAGGAAAGCAAAGGAAATCTCTGTAGATGAAGGTTAACATTCTCTTCATTAAGGGAGCAAAAACACTTGGAGGAAAAACTGGGTAGAATCAATGATGGAAAAAATCCTGGAACAGTCCTGCTGTCAACAGCAAGACTCTATAGTGGATTCAACAATGTTCGGAGATTATTTCTAGCAATAATTAGTGATTATGGCCTGAAGGCAGAGAATTCATAGTTCCTGTTCATAGTTACCCATGGCAGCATGAGATTTTAGCACATTCTGACACTAGTGTTAAAGTGGCTACTTTGAGTACAATCATAAGGGGACACGGAGTAAATTAATAGAACAGGAAGGGGAGAAAAGATTCCTGATGATAGTACCAGAAATGCTCAGTCCAGTTGACCAATAAGGATACTGTGAGAGAGGAGACTCAAGTGGTGATCATGCCGGTGCTGGGTGAGGCAGTTTGACATTGACCAAAGTGCAGGAGTATGGGTTGCAGATGATTATGCTGTTTAAAAAGCCATCCATTGAAGCCACTATGATGGGGCTCAAGATGGCAAACTGGCAATAATGAACTCTGTTTGAGGAAGGTAGGGAAAAAGAGTTTAGGAAACAGTTAACAAAAGACACCTAATGGATTTCTAGCAGAAGCTGGCTCCCTAGAAGGAAATAGTTGGAGAGACAACAGGAGGCTAGCTTTTATCTCTGTAGGACAAGAACTACTCAGCATGAATTTCAGAGGAGAGTAGAGGAGAATGAACTAGTCTGTGTCGGCCTATGTCTGAGTGAGGGAGCAAGACTGGAAAGAAGATGAAACAGAGGCAAACCCCAGGAAAGAGAGAGTATACACCTAGAGGCATTTCATCCTCAAGGACTTTGAAGTGATTCATGGCATGTGAAGGTAAAGGAAAGCAGAAGGAACGAACGGTCTCTAGAAGAAAATCTGTTTAGTTGAAGGCATGCTTTAGGGTATGGACAGACCTCACATCCTCAACATTTACTATACATCCATCTCAGAAATCCCTAGGCTTCTCAAGTTTGATCTTAACAGTGAAAACCCAGTAAGTTTATCCAAATCTAATAATATTTTTCTTATCATCTTCACCGACAGCAAATTATACTTTAAACAGTGAATATATAAATTTATCAAGTAATACAAATCTTCAATTATTGTGAAAATACCCAAACAGTAAATTATATATAAAGTTATAGTGTGTGCAAACATGATGATGAAAATATTTGTACATTAGCATACAGATTATAAAACATTTTCACAAATAACCTAATTTAATCCTTACCCATAGCAACTGTGAGACAGGGAAAGAGAATGTTGCAGAAGGTCAGTGACTATGCAATAACACACAAAAGAGTGATGGAGGTAAGGATTAATCTTGTTTTTCCAATTTCAGACCTGTGCTCACTCCATGAAACTCCACTACCTCTGCTGACTTACATACACATATGCTGTCTTATTTCAAAGAGGATTCTAGTTGACTCACAACCTCTTCTTTCCCACACATAGAAAATGAACATTGAATTTAAACAAAATGATGTAATTAAATAATTACTGTCTCTATTAATAAATTTTGTCAATACAAGTTTTGAAAACAAAACGTGAATTAGCTTTAATACATATAGCTGTAGCTATTCAGGCATTATTTTTTGAAACAAAATTCATTCTCGAGTAAAATAATAAAAAAATCAAACTTAACAGTGAGCACTAATACAATTAAGTCAATTTCACTGTATTGCAAGAAAACCAATGAAACAGAATAGTAAAGGAAAACTCTACGATTAAAAATTTCTTCCCAAACCAGAAGTTAATTTTAAGAAATCTGGGCTGCAAAGTGTGCAGAATCTGGCATGTGATGCTCCAGTCATATGCTTCTGATGCAGCACTCTGGTAGACCTCATCTTTTCCTTGATTCATTCTCCCAGTGAGAAATCCTTCCTCTGTTCCACTATTTCTCCTACTGTATCTATTGATTATAAAGAGATCACATGCATATTAACTTATCACCAAAACAATAGCTGAAGTGGCAGGTGACATTGCCACTTCTGCCTAAATTAAATAATATAAAGATAGAATTCTCTTCTTGGATTTTAAAGATTTATTTTACCCCAAATGAGAGAAAATTACATTAATTTAGAGAAGCAAAGTTAATAGGGGAGTATCACTGGAATGCAAATCACTACAGAAAGATGATAAAACCAAAGTCTGAGAAACTATCATAGCTAAGACAGGTCAAGAAAGACCAGAAAGTCAGGCTATTTATGTAGTATCCTGAAAGACAATATGAATAGAAAAAAATTAGCAAGTAAATATTAAAGAGCCCTAAATAATTATGGATTTTGACTAATAATAACATGAGTATAAACTTATTAATTATAGTAACTATACTGCACTAACACATGTGTGATGCTATTATAAGAGTAACAGTAGTCTCAGGACACCCATGAACTCTATGTAACCTTCCCTGGAAGTCTCCCATTCAAGCACTAACCAGGCCTGATTCCACTGAGCTTCCAAGATTAGACTAAATTGAAAACATTCAGAGCAGTAAGGTTTTAGACAACCTTCCTTGAAAATGAAAAGTATAGGAAAATAATAAAAAACACTCCAAACAAACATAACTGGAAACTCATTGTAGGAGCTTAATATGATAGACTGTGAGCAAGACCATTGCTTAGTTCAGAGCTCCTGGAAGTTTTGCAAGGACAGGAAGACCCCTGAGAGTCCTTTCTGGAGAGAAAGGAACACTCATTTAAAGGTTCAGGTCCTGTGAAGTTAAGACTACAATATTTTTGTCAATAATTAAAATGCTGAAAGTACATTTATAAGATCTTTTTCAGTAGCAACAGTTGTTCATAATAACTTTCTCCTAAACTTTGACCCCCAGAAGGTTAGCATTCAGGAAGCTCAGCTGCTGTCTAACAAACTTAATTAATCAAAAAGTCATTTCCGAGCTGTAACTATGAGTAAAATCGCTTCAAGTGTCCTAGCAAGCCTACAAGTTAATCAAAATGCTAATGCAGTACAAATTAAAGTTGTGATTAACATTTCACAGTAGCTGCTTAAGTGAATTGATCACACAAATGGGTTAAGCATTACTCATTTCCTAAAGCCCCAACCGGGAGAAGGGTTGTTATGTGAGTGTGAGGAGAGGAACTGGGGATAGAAGGATCCTTTACAACAGCACCACACTGTCAATAAACCATCCCTGAGCTGCCATACGAAAGCTTACAGGCAAGTCACCCAGGAGGAAACAGCCTTGCAGATTATATTATAGTCTCTGAAGGGAGATTGCTTGTAAATTCACAGGAGTAAATAAAGGTGTGTAACACCACAAAACATATAGAGTTGTATTAGTTTTGGAACTGCTGAGCCCACTGGCTCTGCTGCATCCCTAGCAAGGATGATGCTTTGTTTTAGGTGATTTTGGTCAATGTACTGAAGAGTTAAGATGAAGCTCTGACTATCTGGACTGAATGTTCACTGAAGTGTGGATATTTTCATTTGGAAGAACAAATCATTAAGGATTAAGTTCATGTAGATTGATTTGCTTTAAATCCTTAGCAAGATTTCACCAAGCTTCTACAGAAAGAAGGGGCCCTTGGCCATCTGGGCAAGAAAGAAGCCTGAATTAGACCCCACCCAGGTCTCTTATGAGTTTGATAAGGTCACATGAAAATGTTTATAGTAAATGGACTACATGTATTGGTAGACAATTCAAAATTTGGCAGCAGAAAATCTTTTAAGTTGTGGGAAAACTTGCACACACTCACACTCACACACACACACACACACACACACACACAAATCTACTCTTCCTACCATCTCCTATTAAACAACTAGAAAGAAAAAACCCAAAATATTTATTTTATTTGTTCGTGATGAACAGGTATCTCCTGCATGCCACACCGTGGCCTAGTCATCTTCCCAGTCAGTAATGTTACAGCTATTAGAAATTAACAGTATAACTCAGCTATGAAACCCTCATATAGTGTTAGCATTCCCTGACACAGACCTGCAAAGCAGACATATTGTTTACATATAAGCTACTTACCTTATTTTATCAAAATGATCTGGAGAGATCTTCTGAAACTTATTGTGCTACCTACTTAAAGAAAAATCTCATTTTGTCTAATTAGAAGCATTTAACATTTGAAAGGATTTAACTAAGAATACAGCAGATTCACCTAACATTTGTAATATCAAAACATTCTTGCAAGTATTGGATTAAGGATTACACCAAGTACTTCCTATTTAATCTTGGTAATACCTGGACTACTTTCACTGCTAATTGTACTTGGCTCTAAAAGACTAAACCCCACTCATTCAGACGATTGTGACATTTTTCAATATACTCCCATTCACCAAGCCCATGCTAGTGAACATGAGGTAAACACACTCACTTTCCTCTATGGTACTTGATTCTTTGGGAATCAAATATTTTTACATGTAACCTCCACAACATGAATGAATCATCTACTAATGAAATCTAGACTAGCACATTTACAGTTATACTATCTTTCATTCAAAATTGTTCTTTTTTCCTATGTTTCCCTTTTGTGGCACAGAATGTAACTCAGATATTTTATTCCCTCCTCTTCACATACTCGAACATATGGACACATACTTACAGAAACCTATGTATTGTTTATTCGTTAGCATATTTAACAACAGTGAAGCTGGGGATACAGCACAGTGGGTAGTGCCCTGGCCATAACATACTAGAGGTTCAAAGTGTGATCCACTGCAACCTCTAACAATAGATTAGTGGAGGCACGTAAGCCTGTAATGTAATCTTTGCCACTTCTAAGGTGGAAGCTAGAGAATCAGGACTTTAGGCTCATGTCTGGTCTAAGTCAGAGACCCACCTCATTAGGCTAGATTAGACCCTGTATCAGATCAAGAAAAGAAAACAAAAAGGAAAAAAATAGATTGAAGATGAAATGTTGTGCTTTCAGAATTAACGTGAGTTATAGAAAATACAGAGTCATTGATATGTAGCATACATTTATCTTATCAGAAGTTGTTATAAAAAAGTCATTATTATTTTGATCTTTAGGCTAAACAACCCAACTGCGTCAATGAACTTTTAAAGATTTGTTTTTGCAAATTCAAGTACTTATCTAAATAGAGAAAGGTATGTCATTCCAAAACAACTACATGTTCCCTTCCTCTGTTTATGCAGTTGGTTAAAATTATTAGTATTTTTTTTTTAAAAATCTGAAAACAGATCTACCATAAGATCCAGGTATACCACTCTTGGGCATAGACCCAAAGAACTCTACATTCTACTACAGAGACACTTGCTCATCCATTTAATGCTGCTCTATTCATAATAGCCTGAAATTGGAAACAGCCTAGATGGCTATAAACTGATGAATGGAGAAGGAAAACGTGGTACATTTACACAATGGAATGTTATTCAGCTATTAAGAATGAAATTATGATATGCAGGTAAATGGATGAAGGTTGAAACAATCATCATAAGTGAAGTAACCCAGACCTACAAAGAACTAGAATGTAGCTAGTAAAGGGCAAGGAAGGAGGAGATCTTCCAAAGAAGAGAAAATAAACTATAGCATTATAAAGGGATAAAGGAGAAATTAGAAGAGGAGGATTAACTGGAGAGGGTAATGGGAGGGCGGAGTAGAGGGAATATCAGAAAGGTCAACTAAACTAAAGGTCTTTGAAAAGCCGTATGTAAATCTACTATTGTAGAAGATTCCTAAAATATATACATATATAAATGAAATTTAAACAGATTTAAAAAATAATGGGAAACAGTGCCAGAACCAGACACCATATACTTCCAAAAAAAAAAAAAAATCCCAATACTAGGCATGGGTTGCTTTTTTTTGAATCACTGGCCAAAGCACAGACACCCAATGAAACATTACAGGCTATTGACAATGTTATTGGTTATCTTCCACAATCTGATAGCAAACACTGTTGAAGACATCACTTACTGAGTCACCAGAATTGGAGAAATTGAGCTGGTGCTCAGCTAGAAGCTTCACCCCTACTAACATTCATAGTGCTGGAAGGGGATATATACATGTTATTAGAAGAGAAACATAATCACTGATCTCGTTCAGCTAAGAACCTTGTAAGCTACAACAGTGACCTGCCTGCAAGAGATGCCCAGTAGGACAGCAGTGGCACAACTCCTAATGACATATTGCTATACACACAGAGAACACCGCTGAATCCTTATCACAGCAGCTTTTTGCAGCAGACGGCAATTGGACAACACACACAGAGTAAAAGACTTTGAAGTACTCAGCCCTAAATGGGATATCTATATCACACCTTTCCCTTCTCAAGGTTCAGGGATCTATGCAGAAGAGGAGGCTTAAAGGTTGTAAGAGCCAGAAGTGATGGATGACTCAAAAGAAACAGTATTTTCCAAACACAACAGGTTTTATTCTCATATGAACTCACAGACACCATGACAGCACACACAAGAACTATGGAAAGAAAAGAAAAGAAAAAAGAAAAGAATTGATAAGTTCAAACTAGAGAAAATCCCAGCATGCAGAAGGGGAAATATGCAGAGTCCCTATCTCTATTCAAGAAACTACTGACAACTGATAGCTGCTAGGAGGGATAAAATCAGTTTTCTTCAATGGTGTCTGTGACTGAATACATTATTAGCTACAACACAGAGCAGGAACACAAAGCTCAAGAACCTTTTCTCAGTGTTGTGGTGATATTTTGCTTGTGTTCTAACAAATAAAGCTTGCCTGGAGATCAGAATGCTAGCTACTAGAGGCCAGGCAGTGGTGGCATACATATGCCTTTGATCTCAGTACTTGGGAGGCACACACCTTTAGTCCCAGCACTTGGGAGGAGGGAACTGGAAGTGATATGGCTGGGTGAGGGGAGAGAGAAAGTAATAAGGCAGGATAGAGACAGGAGCTTGTCCCTTCTAGTCTGAGGATTTGGTAGAGGTAAGAAGTGGTTGTG